CGTTGATACAGATTAATTTTCAGTGTAAATTCTAACCTTTCTCTTTCTCAGGTTTTAACTAAAATCTTATTAAACATTGCTAAATAACTCCCTTTATGCATAATAAAAAATTAATATTCAGAACTTTAAAAATATTTTTTGTATATAGAATAAAATACCGTCTATTTTTAAATTAAAAAAAATAATCCTCATTTTATATGGACTGTTCCAACATTACGTTAACCAGATATTTTTTATTAAAATCTAAATTACGTAACGGTCAGTGTACACACAGAACCTGAAGATTGCGTTGTGCATGACACTCTGGGCCGTGCTACCAGTGAGGGTAATGTATATATATATATATATATATATATATAAGGAAAATGGAACTAGTTCTCGATGTTATTTTTTGACCGTTTGTAATAAAAGATACCAGAGAATAAATGAATCATTGTTCGGCTGGCAAGGACCTGACATATTTACGAAGAGAGAAAAAACTTTGACGCAAACATCATAGGCCTGAAGAACTATAGAGCAATAGGGCAAAAGCCACTTGTCCGTCCATATGAACATTTTAGTTTGTGTAACACTTGCACTGGACTTTGCGTCCCTTTTAAACAAATAGTGATTATTCTGAAGGCAAAACAAATGTTAAGATGACCCGTCACTGAAACCCCTCACGATTTAATTTTGGTTCTATCTATCTTCTGAATCAGAAATAGGGATCTATCAATCCCAGTTGACTTATGGCACGCCTGAACGCCAAAGCGGATATTTCTATTTTCCCGCGCAAGTGCTAGATGGCTGTTCACACTGCAAGAATCTTGTTTTTAATCCTGTAGGCTGGCTCGCCACTCTTGTCATCAGAATCTCTCAATCTCTCTCTCTCTCTCTCTCTCTCTCTCTCTATATATATATATATATATATATATATATATATATATATAAAATATATAATTATTTATTTAAAATATGATTCTAACACGCTACATAAGAGTTCTCATGTTTCAAAACAAGAGCCGAAAACTCTCAATATAATTATTTGAATTGAATTGAATTAAAGTACTAAACTCTGTTCCATCTTCAAGCGAACTTTGGATTATTTACTTAACGAGTTCTTTCCTATTTTCTATATATTTTTACACACACACACACACACGCACGCACACACACACACACACACACACACACACACACACACACACACACACATATATATATATATATATAATAAAATATAATTTTGGAATATAAAGACTATATTTATGGAATATATATATATATATATATATATATATATATATATATATATATATATATATATATATATATATATATATATATATATATATATATATATATATATATATATAAGTCAAATCTTTTCCCGCACTTTCACCATAACATATTTTTAGGTTTATTACGCTGCCTTCTGCACACGCGTGCTTATAGCCGTTATTATTGTGGTCCCATAATCGAAGTTTGAGCTTCATCTGACGTTTTTTCTTGCTGCTGTTACAGTGTAAACATGGCCGCTCCGCTAGCAGTGAGCACCACGGAGAAACATGGAGCAGTGAAACTGATTTCTCTGGTCGGACGGTGTGTCAGGGGCTAAAATTAATCAGAGGCTTTTGACGCAATACGTCACCAGTGCACTACCGTGTAGAAGTGTGCATGAGTGAATCAAAAAGTTTAAATGTGGCCGTACAAGCGTGGCCACAATAATAGAGACTATAAGTACGCATGTGCAGAAGGCAGTGTGACAAAATTAAAATATTATGGCGAAAGTGTGGATAATTTTCAGTTATCTTATTTATTAATATAGGAGTTATTATTAGCTTATAACATTTTTCTCTTGCTACTCTTCAATTGGGCGAGTAGACGGTCATGAAGCTTGACTCTCTAAGAATTACTACAGAATAGCGAGTTCGATCTACACATGTTTCATGGGTGTGATATTGGATCAAAAGGAAGTCAAGCCTAGTATTTATCAATCCACCCACGAGGATAGAATGTGGCACAAGTCCGGTTTAATGTGGGTATCCCCGAGCCCGTAGGCTCGGCCAAAAATATAGCCTTTTTGAACCCGCCTAGACGGCTTCAGGGTCTTGTCTACCTCCTCGAACGAAACCTTGCTCTTCGGCAAAGCTTCGTCCGGGTTCCTCCCTGCTAATGCAGAGAGTTCGACAGACGCCGACTCGGAAGCTCACAAAGGCAGCGTACTACACTTTGATCATTGCCCCCGGGCCGAGCAGCTTAGAAAACAAGAACTCTTCTTCTTCTATTTCTGTTGCTACTGCTATTAATGATTAATGTTGTATGGTCAGGAGCCCATTCTGTTTGCCTCGGGGTTGATAGGCTCCAGAGGCGGATATGCAATATAATTGGCTTTGTTCTGGCATCTCGTCTACAGTCACTTTCTCACAGACGCGCCTTCGCCTCTCATTATCTTTTTTTTACAAATACTACATGGCAATTGCTCCGAGGAGCTGCATTTGCTGGTTCCCAGACTTCATGAGTTCAAGCGCCCTACGAGGCTGGCATCCCGCTCTCACCCTTTCACTGTCGAAACTCCTAAATGTAGCCGTCTCTTCTACTCCAATAGCTTCATGTCTCGCACCTCTCGCCTGTGGAACTCCCTTCCCTATTCCAGTTTCCCTGAGAGCTATAATCAACTATTCAAATGTAATGTCAATCGACATCTCCAGTTGCTTTGATCTATCCACTTTCCTTTCTTCTATCACTCCTATCTGATCTTCTGTAACCCCTTGCGTCCTAGTGGCTTCTCGCCTTGCTTGGGTGAAAACCTTAAAAAAAAAAAAAATAAAATAAAATTCGTTGTTGTTACAGGGGTCGAGATAAGATTTATGAGGGATAAACTAAAGCCAGTATGGTCAATATAAGATATTTGAGATCCGTAACTAAAATTTGACCCAGCTCTTCAACTGCTGATCTCGGCCGTGTCTCTGGCAATTCAGAAAAGTCTGTTCACGTCAAGTCACTCAACAACAATGCATATCATTAGTAATGGCGCCATCTTTGTACACTTGCTGAGCAGCCATGAATAGAGTCATCGAATAAAAGGGACAATAAAAACAAATAAACACAACGACGCTAGAGTTTCATTCTCTTTTCTCTGAGATCGACTTTTAATCTCATGGCGATCGGATAGTAGATAGATCTGAATAACAAACACTGACAGATAGATAGCAACAGGAATAGATAGATAGATAGATAGATAGATAGATAGATAGATAGATAGATAGATAAAATAGGTATAGATAGATAAGAACATGCCTAAATAGATAGAAAAATTGATATGAACAGAGTAATAGAGAGATAGATCGATCGATCGATAGATAGGAACAGACCTGTTTACTCCGTTATAAAATAATTAAAAATATCAATCTTTTTCGTTGCGTAGAGGAACGTCGATTGAATGCTAATCTACAAATGAAGTTCTAATGAATGCTAATCTGCAAGAGTCGGTACAATGAATGTTAATCTACAAATAAAGGTCTAATAAATACTAATATACCAGAGTCGGTATAATGAATGCTAGTCAACATATGTAAATCTAATGAATGCTAATCTACAAATGAAGGTCTAATGAATGCTAATCTACAAAAAATCATTTCATTGAAATGATGGTTTAATGAATGTTAATCCACAAATGACGGTGCAATAAAGGCTAATATACAAATAAAAGTTTAATGAATGCTAATCTACAGAAATTATTCCATCCAAATGAAGGTCTAAATGAATGCTAATCTACAGATGAAGACTTAATGAATTAAGACATTTTCCCCTAAATTACTCCCTATTATTTTTTACGAACTGTCCAGTTAATTTAAGCAGCGCTGATTTTTTAATACGGTCACGTCTCATTGATTATGTTCCAACGATCGTCTAGAAGGAAAGCACTAAATGAGAAATTGTACATGACCGCTATTTCGGGCATCCTGTCATGTAAATATATCGGGCGTCATTTAAGCTACCTCCTGCAAAGGTCTCTTGATGAGGCCTTCGGCTTGTTCATGAGTTTGAATGTCCCTAAGTCTTTGCATATTCTCAGCACTGGAAGCTCTCATGGCTGCCGTTTTAATCTGGGTTTTCATATGCACGGAACTTTCTTTTTCTCGCTGCAGCCCAGGCTCTTTTGATTGCATCTAGTCCTCTGTTGGCGAAGATTTCTTTTTGCGATGCATATTGCTGCCGTATGCGATAGGCAACAATAAACTACAGAAGAACTCAAAACTGATCAGTGCATTTAAGTATTGCATTAATATTCAAGCTTACCTTTTAAAAGGACAATTTGATGCACGTAGGTGCTTACTTTCCGTACAAACAATTATTTTTATTTCATGAGTGACTTTTGCTGGATTTCGAAAATTAATTTCAATTATTCCCAAAATTATTTCCAACTTATAAAAATTGTTACCGTACAAAAAATTCGTCGCAAAATATTACGTAAAAAACCGCTAAAAACAATCGCAATAATGAAAACTTGGGGATCCAAAATTTCAGGATTGCGGGTCGGGATCCCGACTGGAACGCTTTTAATTTGCTCACAGAGTCAGCCTGATTCCAAAATGGTATGATATGTTGGGCTACGGCCTCTAGGGGTACAGTTCAAAAAGTGTGACACACTGACATTAGTATTTATTTATATAGAAGACAAAAGGAAAACTTATAACGACTGGTTGGATTTTTTGTAATTTTTTTTTATTTTATGTGACTATATGACCGTTCGTAACGCTAGTGTCGTTAAACAAGTAAATAATTAATCGGGTAATATGTGCAGAAATATTTAGGATGGGAATACTTTTTAAATAGGCCAGATCAGCAAAACATCTTCAAGACGGTCATTACTTCTAAAGCTTTATTCAATATATACATATTATCATGAAGCCCTCTATGATTACATGTCAGAATAATAAAAAATGAATTTCTTGCTGAAATTTCTCATCAGACGCCGTAGCAAAAAAAAAAAAAAAAATTCGTCGTGATTCTGAATGGCCTTAAGTTGACATGAGCCATTTTGTTGCTGTTGATATCTAACAACCTCAGTATTTTCATATCTATCTCAGTATGTTGATATGTATCTATCTATTTATCTATTTCAGTATGTCTATATCTATCTATCTATCTATCTATCTATCTATCTATCTATCTATCTCAGTTTCTTCATTTCCTTTCTATTTATTTATAGTATATGCATAGCTATCTGTTCGAAACATATTATAGTTTAACTTCTAAAAATCATCGTTTTTCGACTCAAGATCTCCATATTTTTTATATAACAAAAGCCTTATTTTGCAAAACAAAGTATCCAATCTTATTTTTACTTGTTTCTATTTCTTATATATATATATATATGTGTGTGTGTGTGTGTGTGTGTGTGTATGCGCACGTACGTACTTGCATTTCTTGATACGAAAAATAATCAGACATATTTGTCTATGCTATAAAACCGTAATATTTTCCCGTCATAATCGGCTCATTTCTTCTTACACTGTCTCTTTCTTTCTTTTCTTTCTTTCTTTCTTTCTTTCTTTCTTTCTTTCTTCTATTCCTTAAGTTAAGTCATAAACGGCGGTTTTGTACGAAGAAAAACAACGGGCTCTGTATACAAACAAAAGCAGAACGGAGATTGTAAAGCCTGCAGAAAGAAGGCTGTTTCCACGTTCAAAATAAAAAAGGGAATTGTGGGAAATCTGTCTGAATTAATTACCACTCAATAAGTCTATTTCAACAAAAGACTTTCTCCCGATGTTTCATTGTTTCTACAAGAAACGCTATCTTTTGACGGGGTACGGGGACTTCTGTTTCTCAGCCTGCTCTAAGATGATCACCATTGAAACAATCCAAGCATAAAGCTTCGTTTCGGGAGCTTTCCGTAAAAGACAGTAATGTAGGTAGGCGTATTTTAAGCATTTACTTTTCTTTTAAGGGCAAACAAATGGAACACGTAACAAAGGCTGTGAAAGTCAACGAACGAAAGCTGAGGACAGCCATGGAAAGGGTGGAGGCATCGACATATGATGAACTTGATTGGGAAGAAACAGAGGTAAAGAGACAATGTATAAAAGAAACTTTTTACTGTTGAGAAACGGTAGCAGGTAATGAAAAAGAAGACAATACGTGAAAGATAGCAATTCTCTGATTCCACTTACTTTGTGCGATTGAAAAGATCCAGCCTCTCTCAGACCGTACGTAACTGCATGAAAAGAAAATCTCTCTCAAAGGGTATATGATTACAGTTTATGCATATATACACACGCGTCATAATATGTTGTAGATTTTAAAAGAATGCGAACATACTGACTGCAAAAACACACTGTGTCAGTCATTTAAATCCCCAAACTTTTGGGGCCACAGACAGTCTTCTTGTATGAAAATTTTTCCACTAATGGAAAAAAAAGGTTTTATTCTTTCTGTGCGACCCGATAGCAAATGGTCCACGGCCCGATACCAAATGGTCTGCGGCCCGATACCAAATTGTCCGCGACCCGATACCAAATGGTCCGCGGGCAGATACCAAATAGTCTGCGGTCAGATACCAAATGGTTCGCGGCACGATACCAAATGGTTCACGGCACGGTACCAAATGATGCGCGGCACGGTACCAAATGTTCCGCGGCACGGTACCAAATGGTCCGCGGCTAGATACCAAATAGTCTGCAGCCCGATACCAAATAGTCTGCGGCCCGGTACCAAATGTTCTGTGTTCCGGTACAAACGATCCCCAATCCGGAATGATTCACTGCCCGATACCGGTCCTCGACCCAGTTTTTGGGCACCGCTGACTTAAACAGTCCACCCCAAAAACCAGCATTCGAAACGCTACCTTTTATTTGAACACTAACGACTCTCACAAGAGGGGGTAAACTGTTATAAAATACGGTACTTGAGGGTGAAGGAAACACCTAACCGATTGCTCTTTCAAGAACTGCGAGGTAACAGGCATAGAAGGGGAAAAAACGAGAGAAACGAAAACGACACTGCCTCAGAAACCACAGGAGAATGTGAACGACACGCAATTTGAGGAACAAAAATGTCCATGGGAACGACATCACAAGACAGATCAGCGAAACATCTTCAAGACGGTCATTGCTTCTAAAACTTTATTCAATATATACATATTATCATGAAGCCCTCTATGATTAAATGTCAGAATAAAAAAAAATGAATTTCTTGCTGAAATTTCTCATCAGACGCCGTAGCAAAAAAAAATTATATATAATAATAAAATAAAATAATAAAAATTATAATAATCGTCTTTTTTCGACTCAAGATCTCCATAGCAAATGGTCCGCGGCACGGTATCAAATGGTCCGCGGACAGATACCAAATAGTCTGCAGCTCGATACCAAGTGGTCCGCGGCACAGTCCAAATGGTCCGCTGACCTATACCAAATGGTCTGTGTCCCTTTACAAACGATCCCCGGCCCGGCACCAAATGGTTCACTGCGCGGTACCGGTGCTCGGCCCAGTGGTTGGGCACCGCTAACTTAAACAGTCTGCTCCGAAAATCAGCATTCGAAACGCTACCCCTTTTATTTGAACACTAACGACTCTCACAACACCGCCTCAGAAATCACAACAATGTTAGCGACACGCAACTTGAGGAACAAGAATATTCATGAGAACGACATCACAAGACACCGTATCTCGCCAACTGTCCACTGCTGGGTTTCCCGTCGCTTTTATTGACCGGAGTTCACAGAAACCCGGATCTAAACAAGTTGCAGAGAGGCCCGTATCTGGACATGCCAAGCAGTTACGCTGCGAACGGGGAAAACACGGATATAACTGATTTTGGCATACATGTCCGCACACGATTCGGAGCCTCTTTTCCGTCTGTACTAGCGTGCGTTCGCAACTACGTCAGCCACTAAGCCAGGTCGAGGCATTTGCTGAGCGAAATCATACTTGACTAAACGTATAAACATGAACATCGTACCGAATGAGAATAAAATTCACACGTAATGGTTAAAGTGCTTATCTTCTAATCTATTGCTCAACGGTAGGCACTGATACATGGGAACAGAGTTTGATAAATAGATCGATAGATAGATAGAGAATTAGATAGATACGCAGTACCGGTGAAAGGGACACGTGCCATCCACCCCGAATCTATGATACGGAGCCTCCCCAAGTCTATGATACGTGGACTCCCCCAACTCTATTACATCTTAATTTTCATCAAGTAGTTTTTCATGTTAAAATACAAATTTTTATGCAACCTAATTATGTACAATAATGGATCATATGCAATATAGGTGAACAATTCAACTACAAACATTAAAAAATAAATACAATGTATCTAAATGCAAATTAGAGACATGTCATAATAGATCATTCCATCTTAAATAAATCAACAATGTTTTGTAGCAATTTTTACCACCAACTTGAGATTTTTCTTATTACAAAGTTGAATAATTTTAACATTCAACATTATGGATAAACTAGCAGCATGGTCCGGCGTTGCCCGTGCTTGATTCAAAAATCGTACGACTCATACAGCAATCGCTATCACTTGACTTAAAATATTTTTGCCCTTCCTTGCCTTTAAAGGAGTGCCCTTTGCTGTGCTGATGTTGCGACATGCCTTTATTTCTTGCCTATCTCACACTGCGATTTTTTCTAAGCTCTATACTAAACATTAAATCTGTTAAGAAAAAAGAACTAAACAAAATGAACACAAAACGATCAGCTTTAAAAAAGGACACGTAACTGGAAAAACCGAATGAAAAAAGAATGTTAACAACAAATACTTTTTCACACCCAACCCAGTTCTGCAGAATCAGAATCAACGTTGAGTTTAAGCAAGCGAATGAGCCAATTGGAGTAAAATGCCATGCAGATTTAAATTTTTCCCACTTGTGACGAATACAGCTATCGATTTTTTTTTGTATGCTAGTTAACATTCGTGTCAGTCAGCTGTTGGCTCTCACGCTGACCAATAGAATCTTCCTGCCTATTCGTGGCAGCCAGCTATTGTCTCTTCCTCTGGCTAGTAGAAAGTGGCCGCAAACTACATGAAAACTGCCATAGAAGCATGAAAAAATCGATTATTTCCACTCTCGATGGGAGTTGGGAAATGCAAAGTTGGTCTTGGCCTTCCCGCTAATTTGGAGCATGTGCATGTAAATTTTGGTGCAAATCCGTCGAAAATTGCGGCTGTGCATTCGTTACACGCGCGCGCGCGCACACACACACACACACACACATCCTGCCTTTTATAGATAGAGATATATAGCGCCTTTTTCGAAACTTAGCATGAGCAAAACAAATTCACGGATTTGAACGAAAAAAAGACTCCAGAATAACATTAAAATCCGCGATTATTTTATCCTCTCATAGTTGTGTTTAGTTTGATTTGTGACGTATATAAATGGAGGTAGAAAAAAGCAAATGTTGATATGATAGACAGGGTCAAAAAGCATTTCCCGGGCCCCACAAATAGCTTATATCCCGGTCTGTGCCTACACGTTAGTACGACCCGGCACTGTAGATACGTAAAGCGATAGATAGAAATAGACTTAGATACACAGATTGACTGATTGATTTGTTTCTTTCTTGTGGTTTATCCACCTTTTACAAGTATTTTAAAGCCAGAAAATATTTTTAGATTGTAAGAATTTTTAAAAGATAATAATCATTTTTACTATTATGTTCAACTAATTAACCCATAGGCGGGGGGAGAATATATTCCAAGGATAATTTTGCGTAAGTGAATATAACCTACCCGACCGCAATTCGAACTCCACTTTCCGAATTCCAATTCCGCGACGTTATTCATTACACCACCTGCACATTCATGCTTACAGCACTTGATATTCCTCAAGTGGTAACCCTTCTAGATACTGACCAGGCTCGACGATGCTTAAATTTGGTTATAGTACGGGAACCGGTGTTACAACGTGACGTGGCCGCAAGCCTTTAGATACATAAGATGTGTTGTAACCTAGGGAGAGGTTACTGAATAGAATAATCACACGAAGCTTGGTAATGAACGACAATACTTAGAACAAGAACAACATATATAAGATTCGCCAGCGGCGCGTAGAAGAAGCAGTAAACAGTTGTCAGTTATCTCCTGTTAATTCACCTCTCCAGGTATTGAACTCACAACACTTTGGGTCCTGTCAACCTTAAGGACACATAGCACACCCATTAGACATGGCACGTGGAACTAGAATAGTCTACCCCAGCGAGCGAAATAAAGGGTTCAGTTCGACTTTCCAGCCATCTGAAGAAGACCGGAGCGTACAACGGCCGAAACGTTGTGATAAATATGCCAACAAAGATGAGTACAATAGTCTGAATAATGTAAATAGTGTACAATGTCATTTCATCTGATCTGCAAAAACGGTGATGGCCTCAGTTATCGGGAAGACTATCTTCAAAAGGGTCACACCATAAATGGAGAGTACTGTGCCAACTTGCCAATTTTTTTAGATATGTACAAATCAACCTCAAGATTTTTAGCTTGAAATGCTAAGTTAAGCATATACCTATCGTATAGGTCGATCCCCACCACGAATATACGGTAGGCTACCAGTGGCCCAAAACTTAGGCTTACCGGTAAATGAAATTAGGCGATCATGACGCTCCACCTTCCTCTATTCCTTGCAGCTCCCAACAAGTTCCTTCCCACTGCCACCTCCCCCAGACCACGTTCTGTCATCCACTTGCTTAAAGCCGCTAGGTATGCCATGTGTTGTTTACCCTTGTCTCTCTTTCCCTTTATTCTACCCGTGAGTATCAAATTCTCCAGGCCTTCCTTCCTCATTATGTGTCCCAGAAACTTCAGCTGCCTCTTCCTGATATTAAGTATAAGCCTCCTCCTTGTTTGCAACCTCTCTAAGAGCTCATCGTCGCTCACACGCTCGGTCCATGATATCCTTAGCATACTTCTGTAGGACCACATCTCCGTCGCCTCGAGTCTCTTCTTCATCTTTGAGGAAATCGTCCAACAGTCGCTGCTGTAAAAGACAGATGTCATGTAACAGCTCAGTATTCTTTTCTCTGTTACCAAAGAAATCCCCCTGTCTTGCAATACTCTGCCCAGCTTTTGGTATGTCCTTGGCCATCCCAATATGTCTACGGATCGCAGTGTCGCGCTTACCATCAGACGATAACCTGTGCCAAAATTACATAAGGTCACACCACTTATCTGTATGTTGAGACACTAACTGTAATATCTTTGTATATGCGTTGTATAGCAAACAACCCACATCAGTTTTCGATGGTAGCATTCAGTTCAGACAAGAAAATGTGTCGGATGTTCAGCCATGTTTTTCTTAGCAATAAAAGCTCATAACTGACATCATACCATGGACATCCATTTTTTGTCGAAAGCATTAACCCATTTAAGGATCAACAATGAAATGAAGAATAAGCTGGACTAAATATGTGCTTTCAGAGTTTACCCCTCAGGCAGTTCTAAGAAAATAGAATTACTTATGTCTTCCGATATATCCCCATTGTTTTAGATTTCCTTTATTATGTCTATAATCTTGTCTATGCCGAAATCATCTAAGGCTGCCAGTATCACTATTACAATTCAGTCTGGCCCTGCCACTCTGTTTCTTTTCAATTTGATCAGTGCAGATTCCACTTCAGATTTTAATATTTTCTGCCCGTCGATATTTCTGCGTGCATTGCCAGTTGTTCTCTTTTGTCGTGGAAGAGTGATGCATTCGTTCCATCTCTATTGACTACTTATGGTCACCCCCACCCAGCGGTATATTGAAACACTAACTGCAGTATCTTTCTATATGTATTGTATAGCAAACAACCTACAACACACACCGGTAGTTATCGTATATTCTATCGGTATAACATTTATAATTCATCAGGTCTACTGATAAACACGTTAAAATCAACATTAAACTGTCATTGCTATCATGAAATTGCGCAGATGGCACGCATACCACGCCTAGTACCATGAATGATCGCCTGTATTAAATGGTGCCTCGGTCAGTGTCTACATTTAGTGTATCAGCAGTTGGACGCGATGTGTACCGTAGCGTTAATAGAATACTGAATTTGTGTTACGATTTTATTATTTATTCATTTCTGTGTTAATCTGCCAAACATGTCCACCAAACATAAGTTTTAGTGGGATGCAAGTGTAGCAGCCAACTGGAGGTGAGATATGCAGTAATTGTTGAGTCCTGTTCCACTTGTTTACAATTCGATGGTAAAGGCTTGCATTTTATATCCTCCATATAAGTCGACCTCTAGTTTTAGAAAGATTTTCTTAAGCTTGAAAACTCGGCTTGTACGCCGCAACTTACAATATATCATATTATAAACCAGTACAGAAGAGTTGGTTGTTGAAAGTGACAGCTTCTTCTTCTATAGTCAATTTACTCTTATGATGTAGGCGATCACGGCTCTCCACGATCTTCTATCTCTTTTAGCTCTCAGAATCGTTTCTCCTTTTCCCATCACTTCCACAGTTGCGACATCCGTTCACACAATTCCTTCAGTTAGGTAGACAT